AATGTTGTGAGACGAAGGAGGTCAGTACACAAATCTGCAATTTGAAGCACCTGTAGCGTCAAATCGGTATATCCCCGAATATCACGGAACATGTGTATCAGGCTGCAATCCTGGAGGCTCTGTCGTATGGCTGTGAGAATTGGACTATTCGGGCAACGGAACTAAGACGTCTCCACCATACCAAAAATACGCGGTTCTTACAGTTTCTGTTCCTACTGCTGACTGCGTCAACCAATGTCTCAGAACCGTAGATCTTGTGGGTAAGCGTTGGCGAATACGTAACGAGACAGCTAGGGAATTTCATCAGAAAATGTTTCCAACACCAGAAGATGCACTGGCTAGATAGATCGATATCTTTATCTAAGATGACTGGATTGCACCAGGTACGGCCGACTTATTGACCCATCAGCTCGAATACTGCACTGATTGTGGAAGTGAAGATGGGTTGCAAGGCTCCGACACGAACGATGAGTTGGATTAAGCCTGAAGTCGCTAGCATCTTCCAACATATGTGAGTCTGTGACGTGGAAGCTTATTCATTTATAACCGAGTGACGAAAGTCATAAACGCAAGCACGTTAGCCGATCGTGAGACCGCTACTGCGATTGTGTATGAGACGGCTATTGGTCGATTCCGGTAATCTAAATAGTGTTATAGTCGGGAAGCGGAAGAGGTGTGAAGTTGAGCTTTAGTGCCACAAATAAACAGATTTGACATCAAGTACCCGCCCACTCACTAGGACTTCGCTGTGCGTGCACCCGATGCACGTTTGAGGTCGCATGCAACCCCTGTATCCAAGGGCTCAAGTATATGCAACTTGGTCTTGAGACTGTCTATTAAACTGCTATTTATCTTTAACTCCACTATGTCAAATAATGCATACGTTTGCAGAATCATGCCAGCAGATCACCGATTTACACACCACTCTGTTGTTATCATTAATTGAAGTGAGTAATTAACGAGTTTACCGTTTTGACAATAAGACTCCAGATTCAGCGTGGAAGCCGATCGGGAATTGTGAACCACAGAATCGATTACGCACTTGAAGAGCCAGTCACCACAACTTTGTTTAAGTATTTGTTGCATGTACGAGCATATACGCGTCGCGTTTGATTATGCATTTTTCTTTTCAGAAACCCTGTCGATTGAAAGGTATTCCCTGAATACATGATTTGGATCGACTACATACTACGTTTATGCCGATGAAACAAATACATAGGAATGCGAATAACCAAGGGTAGTTGCGTGTTTCAAGCATGGGCCTTGTGGACGGACCACGTGTATGGATATGAAGAACCGCCGGTGGTCGTTGGATTAGTTTATTATTTATAATTAGGGTATTATAGTCTCCTGGAGCATGGGACGGGTCCGACAATTGCCATAGTTAGCCAAGACATGTGACATTGTATAAAGTTACGAGTATGACGGGCCGTTGCTGGCCATCGGATTAGGTTACTATGCATAGGTAAGGCCTTCTAATCAGGGTCTCACATGGATACGGGCCGAGAAGCTGCTAGTAGTAGGTGAGGTGATTGACAACTGCTAACCTTGTTCTAACCATGCCCTGACATGTGCTAACCGTGTCCTTAATGGGAATGGTTTTATCGTGCTGGCCGTTTACCCACACTTACCTCCTGACGCTGTGTTGTCCATGGGCTAGTCAGTTTTAGAGACGATCCTCGTATCCCCATTCCAAAATTCACTATGTTGTCAAGCAACTTTGTACTAAATGGGAGCTCAGCTCCATAAGAAAGCGTATTGCAATGGAGCTTGTTAGACAAAATCATCTCGTTTGTTAAATTTGCGGAGTTCAAAGCAAGCAAACGTCAGTGATTAAGCTTTTCGGGTGGAATATGCACTGGATATTCTGTAGACGTTAATTCATTCCTAAGAATACCGAAGGATGCCAAAATATGCTAAAGCGCGACCTCGGGTATTATCTCTCGTAAAGCGGCCACAAAATGCGAATCAGTGATTGTTCGTGACCTTAAAACTTCGCCCACTTCCGCAAAATGCCATGAGCAAAATGTCATCAAGAGATGTGAATTGGTTAGTCTAAGACCCCGTAAAAGCCACAAATTCGAAAACCCCATGGTTGCGGGGAAAATAATTTAGGCGCAGTTCTAGTGAGCTGCCAGTAGGTCAGCTTGATTGTTTCATACGGCGGCTAATGCGACCACAACGTCATTTATTGTATATTTGAATGAAACGAACATACATGAAGGGAATGGGCACGTGGGTCCCAATTGAATAGAACGAACTGGGCGCGTGGACAACTCCGAGCAAGAAATCGTGTGAACGCAAGAAATTGTCAAATATGAAGTTTTATATCCATGGTTAAGGAACATAACGGCGTTCAGCAATCAGTTTAAAGCAGTTTGTGTTCACGGATTGATACACGGGACCGGAGTTTTCCTTCAAGTTCACTGGTTGGGAATAGCTCTTGCAATTCAGCGGCTGCGGTTTACCTAAAAGGCACAGGAGATAAGAGTTACAGAACTCCTCCTCTGTTCCCAATAAGAGCCAAAATTATTGCTGGCATGGAGACTCGAAAAGGCGTCCAGAGGTGCTTTGAACTGGATACTAGGTGCAGCTTGTATGACCGTCGTAAGAAGGCTAGTACACACACTAACTGCTCAACAGGATAAAAACTCCTGTCCAATAAATCTTGCGGTCTGATAATAAAAATCATGTCATGTCCCCGACGTGTGTTAGCTGGGTCAGCGGTAAAAAATCGGTCGATCAAATCTTGTTCACAAAGGGCGTAAGTAAGTATTAGGTCTTCTTGGAGGCGAAAGCACCAAACTGAAAGCTGGCCAAGCACCGCGATACGCGTTTCAACATCAACGGATTTTAGGTTGTCAATAATTTTCGCAGAAGCCTGTTCGGGCGAGGTCTAGCATGGTAACTTGTCTTCGTATGCCCCATTAGCGGATTTCTGACATACAGTTGTTTCGTATTTTACGAAACACCGGCTCATCTTCTGTGTCCACTGTGGTGAACTTCTGGGAAAGTTGTTAACATTTCCTTCTCAGAATACAGCGAGACCTTTTAGGTAGCTTGGGGTCCATCCGACTGCGCGCTGATTTTGAGCAACGTCGGGTCAGTCTCGTGAGTGTTTTGGATAATGGTCCTGTTTAACTCTTCCACCGTAGTTTTTTATTGTAGATTTCACGGCAGATGCTCCGGATCCATACCTGATCCCAGATTCCTGTCTAAGTTGTAGACGAAATGAAAAGTCAACACAGAATGGTCGACATGTCATAAAGGTGGCCTCGATTAACATTTGATAACCGAAGCGTGTTTTGTTGGTGATCGCTAAACCCAACAGAAATGGCAGTTGGCCGGCGTAGTATCTGGTGGGTGCGAAAAGTTGAGTTGAAGCGTTCTGTTAAATGCTCTTTGTCAGCGCCAGTGAAAAGCGTCTACTAGATCCGATGCGCTAAAGTTTCATCCAGGGGGCCTTTGAAGCATTCAAATTACCTACCGGCAAGGTGTGTACAGTGGTATCTGGAGGAGGATTTCTTGGGGGTTTGTATGAAGCGTTGAACTGGGACAACTTTAGACCACGCCAAAGAGAAGAGGATCGTTGGCAGACAGCGGGGTTGGAACTCAGAGTGCATCACAAAATGTTGTGTTGGAGGGGACAATCGGGATAGACAGGGATGCGTGTAGGTATTGAGCAATCCAAACTGCCTTCTCGGTGTGTACATTTTAGCTGGTGATTGACGCCTGAAAGGAGAAAAATGTAAGTCAGGTTATAGAACACCACTATGTGAAATCCATCTAAAAAAGTGGACGTAATGCTTGCTCTATAATGCGATCGTTGTAGCGGTGAGGGTCTCGTAAAACCGTGTATGCACGACATCCTCTTTAGTAGCCGAATCTCATTGCTCTATTTTTTGCGGCTAATGCCGGTGAGTATTAGGCTCATATATTAGGAGACTCACCTGAACTACATTAAGTCTCAGTGATATTTGAAGCCTTATTGAATGAAAATGCCATCTAGCGCAACTAAAGATTTTCGTTCATTTCATCAAGACAACCTCGTATCTCAACGTACATGCCGGGTTGGGAGATTTAGCCGGATAGGTTGCGGTCTTTCTCATTTGTGTGCTTCACACAAAGCCATCATTGTCTCTTCCTTCACAGTGGTGATATAGAATTTTGGCACTTATATTATGCTATTTACTCGCAGTCTCCCGTTTGTGTTCACAGGAGCTGAAAAGGTGGACACACTTTTCTGATATCCTATGCTTTGATCCAAGTCAACGATATAACGTGGCTCTTTTTGTGGACGATTTGGAAGACAACTTCATGAGCTTTCTGTTGATGAACCGCAAACGTCCTGAGTCATATGCGCTCACATCATGGGTCGTCCGTCACATATGTCGAGTCCCGGTGCAGCGAGATAGTCCTCCAGATTAAGCCTCCACTTAACGGTATTTACAGTTACCCTAAGCGGCTGAAGTTGATTTAACATTCGGTTAAGCTGTTCATTTGAGCCATTCAGAGGCGGCTTGAGGACAAATAAAATAGGTATTTCTTTTCCGGTAGGCTATAATCAAATCAACTGTTGGTCTATTAGTGTTCGTCTTCTAAAAATATTGTTGAATGTCCTAGTGCCACACCGTATTTCCAGGGAATCATCGCGATTCTCCGGATTGGGCGCGCACTACCAAATTGCTAATGGTATATACGCGGTAAGCCACGAAGTAAGGGACGAATCTGGGGTCCGCGCGACGTAGCATTTGCAGGTGTTGGTGGAATATGTGCTAGTAATACGACAAGCAGAGTACTTACTCTACGGTTTTGTCCAGATCATTCATACAGTGGAATGGGTGCCGCTCGCATTGTCCGTGACCAAAACACGCGAATGTTGTTCTAAATGTCCGTGCTTCCGGGTTGCTCCGCTAATGTATGTTGAGAAACTGGCGGCTATTAGGTCTTTATCCTTTAAGGCTATGGAGGAGTCACACGATTTCATTAGGGCTACTTACGTAGTCTTTGTGCGTGTTGCGCGAAAAGCTTGAGTACTATTTTGCGTTACGGGTCGGCCAGAGGAACCAACGGTTAGGTAAAATATCTGAAAATAGACTATGAGGTTAAGCCCATTCGCTTACAAAAAACAGTAAACGAAGCACCGGTTGTCCATTCCGGTCTTGATCAAGGGAAAATGGAAGCCATCTCTCGTTGACATCTTTTTATCGTCGAGACAATCATAAGTTGCCAGGGTTTTGTGGGGTCAATATGCCGTCAATTGAAGACTGGTCGAAGTGAAGTTGTGCACATTCAGCGTGCTGCTAAGGAATAAGGCCGCAGTGTAAAGCGTGGCGGTTTGTAGTCGACGAATTCGGCAAAGGCCCCATAACAGACACCGTCGAAAGTGTCGAACAGCTCTTTTGGTAGGTGATGAAAAGCTTGGTTTTATTTTGACAGATGTCCCTTTGGTCCTGGCTAGGCTTTTCGAGGCCAAACAGGTGTCATCTCTGAAGCCACGTATTTATCGCCCAATGGTGGCCAATGATGCCCCCTAGATGTCATGTGTGCCGATAAAACACACGCGACCAACCGTTGTGGATGATTTTCGAAGGCAACTAATTTATGGGCCGTGCACATTCCTGCT